GGAAATAGATAAAGGGGAAAAAAATTGGCAGTCTTAGTATTTTACAAGCTTCGGAATTTTTTTCGTTTGAAAATATAAACTCGTCTTGGTATTCTTTCTCATAAAGTGTGCATCACACAAGGAAATTAAGCACCATTATAAGAAGGGTGGAGTGAAAATATTTATGTCCATAAGTAAGATGTTTTGCTGACAGTTCATCACGTTTCCTGAGGTTTTGATACTAAGAGATTTAATTAAAGGCAAATAACACTTACAAGACAGCAAGGACGCCTAATGAGTGTTCCTGCACATCCAGGGCACCAAGCACTGTATCCAGATGGGAGAGATTTTTTGCTAGCAGTTCTCCACTTTTATTGATCAACTCACAAAGCTGGGTCATTTGCCCTGAAATATGAAACATCGTCGTCAAGCTCTAATTAGAAAACACTCAGGCATTCCCATACTTTATTACTCCTTGCTTCCCTCTATAATCTGAGGGAGGAAAAAAAAAAAAGTAATCTTACCCAGATAAATTACTTTTTTGGAATATACTAGGCACGGTTTTCAACAAGTGAGGTGCCAACAGAATATTTTTAAAAGGAAACAGTTAAGCTTCTGGCCCTTGAGACTGTGAAGAAAACCCTAAGAGCACAAACAGAACATGAAATCCAGTATCAACTTGCCTCATCGGAGAGAGGGCTTCAGGGATCTCGTATCAAAACGAAGCTTCACTTGAGCTAAGTCACCAAGACTTTGGTCAGTTTACTGTGATTCAACATTCTGTTTCATGCAAGTGTGATCTACACTTGTGCCTTCTAGGTATTACAGGGAAAAACAATTCCAAGACTAGTATTCCCTTCCAAAAAAACTGCAACAGCAGGCCTTGTTACTTGCTGCTTCTCAAGTGCCAGATCAACCTTTTCAGGTCTGCTTATAAACTTTTTTTTTTTTTTTGAAATTACAACTAAATATATAGACTAGAGGGTTAAGAAAGTGTCTTTAAAATTTACTTCATATAGTTAGAACTACAGTGTTATTTTATTTGCAGGAGCTATGAATACAGCATGAAAGGCAAATATTTTGAATTAGGAAAGTATGCTATACCAAGAAACCTTACAAAGAAAGCAAAGACAGATTATCATGAACTGCTTTCAAAAATCTTTTTTTTTTTTTCCCAAAATTACTTAAAAGCTTTCCCCTTTCTAAACCAGAATTTCTTTTCAATTTTCAATCCCTGGAAAAGAAAAGGAGAAAGAAGAAGCAGCAGAGGTTATCACACCTTTACAGAAATCATCATGAGATGAGGGTAATACTATGTGAGTAATGAAAAAAAACTTATATCCCCCCTAAAAGGGCAATCTACCTGCTCTGCTGCTATCACCTAGACTCCCCTTTAAAGTGCAAGTTTTTTATTTTTATTTTTTTATAAGTAGAAATACCCACATCGGGTCAGACAAAGGTCTATTTATCTCATCTGCCATGCAACCAAACGCTGACGACCAGAGAACAACACTGCAAGCATACGTACTTCTCCTGTACACTCTCATAACCTCCAATAGTTCGTGCTCATGGATGTCCTGCCTTATAAGAAGTGCCTAGCTGGCTAATCCCTAATGGAAGAACTTCCATGAAGTGACCCGTTTCCTCTTGAGCAGTTAGCATCCACAAAACCTTGCAAAAAGAAGGTCCACAGCTGAACTACATATGTACAAAGAAGCACCTTTTTTTTGTTGTTTTGTTTGTTTTGTACCTGATCTTGCAGGCACGAGTTGTCGCTTGCATCTGATACCACAAGTATAAATTCTATAGACTTGATGAGTTAAAGCATAAAACAAGAGAAAAATTGAGCTCTACCCAAATATAACTACCAGAGAAAAAGCCTGGGGCCATAGAAGAAAGTATCAGTTCTTGATGACGTCCAGGGAGCAAACGTCCCATGCAGAGAAAAAACAGAAAACACGCTTTCGGGAGCATCAGTACAGCCAGAAGATTCAAGAACTAGGAAATACTGTACCCACACACAGGAAAATTAGGAGTTTGGCGATAAAACTGAGAAAGCCTAACTGAGGATATTAAAACACCTTCCAAACACTCGGCTATGAGAACTCCTATGTATAGTCTCAGGCCTTCTATCATATGCTTCTATGGTAGGCCAAAAAAAAAAAAAATCTCAGCAGTGGAGACAGAAGAGCTTTTCAGTGCCCCAAAAACAAAGGCGGTGTTTTTCTGCCCATATTCCGTTTTGCCCACCCGAAGAAGAGTACTTTAACGTACTCCTCCTGAAATGTATATGCTCAGCAGTTCGGTGACAAGATAGTGTATACCCTATCAGTTAAGGTCCCTCTTATGTCACCTCTTCCCCCTCCCCTTGATTCCAAGGCTTAGATTTTGGCAAAGCTGCCTGCATCTTCTTCAATTCACTCACCCGGGGGCTCTAACTACCCCAAAAAAAGAGACTGGTTTGCAGCTGCCCTGGGAGAGGACGCGATGAGCAAGGAGGGCACAGCCTACCCACCATGCCCTGTCAAACCGGCCCAGGCTCAACCCTCCAGGGCCCCCTCTGAAGGCGCAGTAAGGGGGCCCCAAAACTCCCGCCCGGAGGGCGAGCGAGGGCCCGG